TTACCCGCCAAGTCTCACCCCTCTTCCATGTTATCTATTCTCTGGACTAAAGTCTTCTTTATTGTTTGATTGGATTATTCTGAAGCAAGATTACAAGTCCCTTCATTCTCCCTTAACTTATTTTGAATGCAGGGCTTTTTGTGCCACAGATAGTTTTCCAGAGGCATCTGATATATACAAAATTCTCTTCTGGGTTCAGTTGTTTGGGTCCACAGGATGTGGACTCCTGACAGGGCCAGTTATCTTGGGAGAAGATCACAGCCAGCTAGAAGCATGTGGGTAAGTAGAGTAGAAAACATGGCTAGTTAAGTGTCCCCTGGGGCTAATTCTCTCCTGTTTCTTCTCTTCCTCCTCCCTACCTTCCCTAGGGCTATGACATCAGTTTTCTGATCACCAACTTCCACACAGAACAGATGTACAAACACAAGTTGGTGGACTTTGTGATCCACTTCATGGAGGAGATAGACAAGGAGATCAGTGAGATGAAGCTGTCAGTCAATGCCCGTGCACGTATAGTGGCTGAGGAGTTTCTCAAAAATGTAAGTAGGGGGCCTTCCTGCTTTCCTGCCTGAGGTGGAAGGAGCCATGGGTTGTGTGGAGTTAGCACCTGGTGGGAAAGAGGTGCCAAATTTCCACATCTTAAAATGTCCACAAAATTCTTAATTTATTCTAGTTCAGCCCCCAAGTGAGGCTAGGGAAGTGCATGTGCCAAGTTTCCAGAAACATAACAGTTAATCGTCATGTAATTCCATTTCTCAAACAGAATTAAATATCTTTCTTTAGCATCTGTTTCTGAGGCTTCAGGTCCTGATTTCCTCAGCCTGTTTCCCATCACTTTGATGGCTTAAGGCTTCTGGATCCCTCTGAAATTGTTTGTGCCTTTCTAACAGAAAGGACTGCAGTTCTGAAGAGGAGGTAGTGTTTACATTGAGAAACTGATGACATAGTTGTTCTTGTTTAGATATTCAGGACATGCCTTCTTAGGCATTTTCCCCCTTTCTTCCAAACAATCTTTGGTTTGTTGATATGTTCCACTCAAAGTTGACTGTGATCCCCAGATGATAGGTTTAGTGTTTACTCCTCCCTGTTCATACAGATCACCCAGAAGGAGCTCAGATTTCTAAAAATGGAAATTTAACACACTTCCCCTGGGATTTAATCATACTGAGGGTGGCCCAGTGCACAAAGTCATTGTACCATGTGTGCAAGGGAGTACTGTCGTCCAGCTGCCTACCAGTCAGACCTCCTGGGTGTCAGTCTATTTCCTTTGCCTACTCAGCTATGTCACTGAGCCTCTCAACTAAGCCTGAGTTTCCTCAGCTGTGAAATGAGGATGCTATTAATATTTACCTTTCAGAGTGGTTGAACTTTAAATGAGATCACGTATGTCAAATGTAACACCTGATATCTAGTAAGCTTTCTGTGTATGGTGGTACGAAAGTTTATGCCCAGGGCACTAGGAGGCCTCTAGATTCAACTAGCATGTTCACAATTCCTACTTAATATTCAAAACATGAGTCTAATACTCCCATGCGTTTGACATGTGAAAAATGTGGTGTGTTTTTTCTCCTATTTAAAAAACACAAAATTCTGCTAGCCACAGTGGCCCATGCCTGTAATCCCAGTGGGTTGAGAGGATGAGATAGGAGGATTGCGAGTTCAAAGCCAGCCTCAGCAATGGCAAGGCGTTAAGCAACTCAGTGAGACCCTGACTCTAAATAAAATATAAAGTAGAGATAGGGTTGTGTCTCAGTGACCAAGTATCCCTGGGTTCAATTTCTGGTACTAAAAAAAAAAAAAAAAAAAGGCCAGAAAACCCAATCTTTTGAGTTAAGTGTTACGGTGTGATTTTGCGGCATGGGGGTACTGGGGATTGAACTTAGTGGTGCTTTCCCATTGAGTCATATCCCTAGCCCTTTTTATTATTTTGAGACAAGTGTTCACTAAGTTCCTGAGGGCCTCACTAAATTGCTGAGGCTGACCTTGAACTTGTGATCCTCCTGCCTCAACCTCCCAAGTTGTTAGAATTACAGTAATGTGTGCCACTGCGCCCAGCAGGTGTTACCATAATTATAGATGAATAAACTGAGGTCTGGAAGTTATTTAATCACCTGCTAAACGTTCCAGAGCCAGGAAATGGAGGAACTAGATGTGGAATTGGGTTTTCTGATGTAAAGATCTAAAACAGTACCACAGTACCTTGTGGGGTTACAAATTCAGGTACATACACAGGTCAGGCAGCAGCACATGTGAGCGAGGTGGGCTGAGTGGGGACCTGGTGAGCTTGGGCCTCATTTGAGGAACATTGCCACCATGTAGCTCCAGCCTGTTGAACTTTTCGAAAGAATTCCAAATCTAGATTTATATATGACATCTTCCATGTTATCAAGGTTGGCAGCTAATTCATAGTCTTTTAAGCACCACATGGGCTAATCTTTGGGCTATGCTCGGTCATCAGCCATTGATTCACAGCCTCTGGCTTATTAAGTGTTGTTCTTGGCATCATGGGGGATATTTGAGGGCAGAAAATTTTCTAAGGCCTGTGCTGGTTGGAGGATCACCCAAAGCTGTATCCCTCTCACCTTGGCCTGCAGAGTTCCCATGTCTTTTTTTTTTTTTTTTTTTTTGTCTTTGGTATTAGGCATTGAACCCAGGAGTTTTTGACCACTTCAGCTACATCCCCGCCCCTTTTTATTTTCTGTTTTGAGACAGAGTCTTGCTAAGTTGCTGAGGCTGGCGCTGAACTTGTGATTCTTCTTCCTCAGACTCCTGAGTTGCTATGATTACTGGAGTGCACCCTGCACCCAGCACCCAGCTCTGAGTCCCCATGTCTAAAGAAGGCAACTTCTGTTTATATGTAAGACACTGACAGAGCTTTATGGCAGCATCCATAGCAACAGTCTAGGGGAACTGTGGAGAAGCCCTCGATACTTATCTAGTGCTAGATTTAGGGTCAGTGCCCCCACAGGTCTCTGCTGAAGATTGGCTGAGTTAAGAGTGTGCTCAAAGGATGTTCTGGGACCCAGCCCCACCCTTCAGAACTCTGTGTACAGTGGCAGCTCTCAGATCAACCCACCATCCTGGAGCAGGCCCACCCAGATACAATAATAACCACCATTCACTGCCTCTTGGTTCTCTTGACAGTTTTAAACCATCTGGCTGGATCTTGCGGCCTACCCCCTCAGCCTCTCCCTGTGTCTCTGCGAAAGCATCCTGGAGTCACTCCCCAGAGCGGCAACGGCAACAGCGGCAGCAGAAGCGGGGAGCTGGGTCGGGTGGGCACTAGATGCGGGAGGGGGGTGGTGTGCTTGCTAGCTGGGCAAGAAAGCAGCAGTGGACCTGCCCCAAGGCCTCACGTGCCTGGTCAGGCTGGCTTCTGATGTTCAGTCCCCTGGGCCGGGACAGATTTTTTTTAACGTCTTGAAATTTAAACTTTGTGCTTGTAGGAGACTGTAACCTTTTTGTCTTTTTTTTTTTTTTTTTTTAAACAACCTCCACCTCCAGTGGCTGTGACTGGTCCCAGTGATTGTACCTTATTGGTCGCTGTGGGTCTGGGCGGGCCTGGAGCCAGAAGGCGACTACTTTTTCTCCCCTGTGCTACCCCAGGTGGGGAGAGAGGGAGGTTTTAGACTCCAGTTTCTCTCCACTGCTCTCTTAATCCCAAGCCTCCTTGGGCCCAGTAGAGGTGGTGGGAACCCTCTATGAGCTTCCTGAGCTCTGCCTGAAGATGGCCTCCCAACATTCAGTGGGGACAAGGGCTGAATCCATGAGTACCAGCCATACCTAGGAGCTGGAGCCCAAAAGCCAGGCAACTTCTGGCTGCATGGGGCCGCTTGGTACCCTTCCAGCTGAGAGGGGCCACTGTCATGCTTTATCTCAGTGCAGTGCCTGTGCTAGAGGTGTGGAGAGGTAAGTCCTCCTCCAGAGCTCCCGCTGGGCCCTCTCCGCCTGCTCTGGCTCCTCTGCTCCCACACGCTCGGTTTCTTTTCTGATTCTAGTGGATCCTCCCACCCCTGATTAAAGTCTCTTCTTGCCCTTTTGGGGCTGCATGAGGTCTGAACTCTGTGTGTATATGTGAAGGGAAGGGAGGTGGTGCTATTTTTATTTCCTGAGACCAAGCAGCTGGTGCTTGGGCCTGGAGCTCCCCATCAGTCTTATAGATTGATCCTACCATTATCCCTGCCAAAGACTCCAACCCAGTAACCATTGCAGTCCAAGTACCATGTGTTTCTGAAAATGTTCTCTCTGCCTATTCAGTGTTGGTGCTTTTCACATGATCTCATGTGGGCTAAAAGATAACCTCAGAGAAACATCCGTCCTATTTTTGGATAAGAAAACTGAGGTTCAGTGAGATGAAATAGCTTGCTGCAAGTCTCCAGACCATGAGCAAGAAGTTTAGACTTCTGCCTGGGCTAAAGCAGTAGTTATTTCTTTTGGTACCAGGGGTTGGACCCAGGGGTGCTTAAGTACTGAGCCATATCCTTACCCCTTTTCATGATTTATTTTGAGACAGGGTTTTTTAAAGTTGCTCAGGGCCTTGCTCAGTTGCTGAGGTTGGCCTCATATTTGTGATCCATCTGCCTCAGCCTCCTGAGTCTCTGGTATTACAGGCATGCACCAATGTGCCTGGCTTCACCTTTATCTATTTAAATTACCCAGTTAAGTGAAGTTTATAATCTGGTTCCTCAGTTTCTCTGATGTCATGTCAAGTATTCAGTAGCTACAGTGACTAGTAACTACCATATCAGCACATATATTTCCATTGTCAAAAAAAATTATATTGGATAATGCTAGACCTTTTTTAGTGATAACTTGAAGTAAACAAACAAAACTGATTTATGTTTGAGTTCTGACTCTTGTTGCTGGATTTGGACAAGCTGTGTATATTCTATGCCTCGGTTTCTTTTTTAAACTGGGGATTGAACTCGGGTATTTTTACCACTGAGCTGCATTTCCAACTCTTCCTTTTTTTCGTACAGGATCTTACTAAATTGCCCAGGTTGGTCTAGACCTTCCGATCCTCCTGCTTCAGCCTCCCAGGTAGCTGAAATTACAGGCATGTGCCACCATGCCTGGGTCAGTTTCTTGATCTCTGACATGGAGACTATGAAAGTGAACTGGCACAATCTCTGCCACGCAGGCACTGAATGAACCACTAGTTGTTTGTTCAGTATCTGAGTTGTCTGATAAACTCCAACATGCTAGGCTTGGGGATATCCCTGCTTTGAGAAGACTTGGGGGTCCAGTAAAAGAGCTAGCCATGTAAATAAATATATTGAAATGTTTCATATGTATTGTTGGAAGTCTGGGGACTGGGAGGGGGCCATATGTATAGGAGGGTATAAAGCTTCTAGAATGGTTGGCCTTTGAGCTGAACTTCACAAAAAGATTTTCTTAGAGATGGCCAAAGGGATCTCTTGAAGGGAAGAATAAAGAAATAATAAAGGAAGGAGGGGCTAGTGGTGGGAACAACTTGAATAGGTATAATCCCCTTTATGACATTACCTCTGTGACCTCCTGCCTTGCTAAATTAGCTAGGCTCTCCTCAGAGGCACATGGCTATGTTGTATCATTGCAATGAATGTGAAAGGTACTCGCAGCAAAGTGCGTGACCACGAGTGTGTGGCAGTTTCTTACTCCCCTCTCACAGGATGGCATTTACCAGGTGAGCCAGCAAGAACCCTGATTTGTGGCAAATTTCTCTCCCAGGATCCAAAGTTCCTTAAAACCAGATTTGCGGGCTAATGAGAATAGACTGTGTGGTTTTAGTCAGCTGGTTCTCTCTTAGGTCTCTCTTACCCCAGCTAAGGGGGTTTGGGAAATGTAATCTTTGGTTGGACAGGTAGGTAATTAAGGGACCTACCTTCACTGTAAGAACGGAACTGCCCAGTGACTGGGTTCCAGCCAGGACTCTCCTGGACTGCACTTGCATGGGCAACTGCTCAGGTTAGCCTGTCAACCTGCTGATTTGGTACTTTGTGATCAACAGGTCAAACCCCACTGAGTGATAATCACAGGAAGATATATATAAGTGTGTGTCAGACCTGGGTTCCAGTGTTGCCTGTGATTTGTGGCAGTTATTTAACATCTTGGAGCCATATTGCCCCTATGACTTTTGAGGATAATACTTTACCACTTTCTCTAAATGGTCATTTACAATCTTGACCTTTTAAATTTATTTTGCATTTGATTTGAATGATGATCAGTTTTTCTGTTTCTGAGTTACCAGGAGAGGAGGTATGTGTTCTGCACCCATGATTGCTCCCCGCAAATACAGCCTCGACTTTCATTTTCATATCTGTTCCCCACCACCACCAAACATTAGCCGCATCTATCTGCTAGGCTTTCAGATCTGAACTGGGCTCACTAGGCTCCAGCCACACTGGCTGCCTTGTATTTCCCCAGAAAGGGTCTTCCCTTTCGAGGTTGCCAAAACTGTTTCCCCTGCCTAGAATGCTAAAATGTTACCTCTTCGGAGAGGACATCTTTGCCCTAATGTGTACTTCTTTCCTGGTTTCAGCTCATGGCTTATTCACTGCCCTCATACCTGTAGCTATTTTGTTACTTGCTTTTATCCCACACTGGGCTATAAGCCTCTTGGGGTCGGGGTTCACTTGTCAGTCCCCAGCCCAGAGCTTAGCACGTGGCCCTCTATAAATACGGTTGGGGCCGTTCCACGCAGGAACTGCTGGATGAGGAACCAAGATTCCAGCCCAACGTTCTGTTCTACCCTCAGTGCCTTGCCCATCAAAGGGGTGGGGATAAATGAGGCCCAGAGCCTGGCTCACAGTGGAAAACCCCAGCTCCCCTGACCCAGGGCGGCTCCGGAACCCCTCGGGTCTGATTGTGCCCGGGGGAATGGTTTCTATGGTGACAGCAAACAGAGGGCGGGGCCTGGGTGCTTCTCGGACAGGCAGCGCGGGGAGGGAGGCGGGCTCCAGCGCTGGAAGGGCGCGCGCAGCGAGGGGCGCATGCAGGGCCCTGGCGGGGCACTTCTGAGCACCAGGGAACTGGGCCCCGTGAGCCAGGGTTCGGCCACCTTGTTCACCAGGATCAAGGCCCGGCGTGCAGTTGGCGGCGGAAGCCGCAACCACCAGATCCACACAACAGTTCCCCCGCCTCTTGGCCCTGTGTTCCCTACCCACAATACCGGCTGCCTGGGAGGCTGCCATGGCCGGGGCCCGCCTCCGCCCAGCCCGAGGCGAGTGGCGCTGGCCGTCAGCGCCTGGCCAGCAGTGCTGGCTTCATGCCCTGCCTAGGCCGCGCCTCCGAGACTCCTACCTGCGGCACTCGCGCCCAAGGCGCTGCGGATCCCCATCTATTCAGCCCCCGGCCTGCCCAGGTCCTGGATGATCCCCCCACGCAAGACGGTGAGGCCCAGAGCGTTGCCTGCCCTGGCCGGTGGCAGCTGCAAGAAGCAGCATGGGGATGGAACGAAATGGTGTCGGAAGAAGAGTGGCAGTGGGTGGGCGTCCTGATGAAGGGTGGAGGGAGGGAAGAGGGTGCCAAAAAGACCCCGGGCTAAGCCCCAACCTATCCCCGCCCCTATAACGCCTCTTTCTGCAGGATCCCTTGTCCTCTGGCGAGGATTCTCCAAGACACCTCACCACATGGGCCGGCTCAGAAACGCCAAAATCCACGTGGAGAGAGCTGTCAAGGTCGGAATGGGTTGGTGGGGAGGAGTTTAGAAAGGACTCTGGAGTAATTTGTCCTGCCTCCTTGTGGTATTTTTGTCATGTCCTTCAAAAACAACCAAAAAAAAAAAAAATCCTTAATTCTACACTCATCTTCCAATACCTCCCCATTTTCACTTATCATTCAGGGCCAAACTTCTTGACAGAATTGTCTGGGCATTGTTCCACTTCTTTACCTGGAATTCACTCCTCAGTTCCCTTCCCTCTGATTTCCTGCCTTTCCCATCCCATTCCTTTTAAAAAACACTCTCATTAAGGCCCTTGGTGACCTCCAAGGAGCCAAATCCAGCAGCGCCTCTTCAGTCCTGCCATCTTGATTGAGTTGCCTGTGGGTGTGCACTGATGCCCCACACACCCATCCTCCTTAGCTATCTGACTGCACACTCCTACTTTTCTTTTCTCTCTTTCTGGCTGCTGCTTTTCAGTTGCTTTGGGCAGTTTCTTAGATATTAGTGGTTCCATAGATCCCTACCCATGCATGCTGCATGCATTGCTTCTCTCTGGTTGTGAGTCCAATGTGCTGCACCCACTGCATACCCTCTCCAGCCCCCTAGTTGACATCTCTACCCAGAGTTTATCAACATTTCAATCTCATGCTCTGATAATCCTACCCAAACTTGTCATTCCTTCTAGTCTGGACTTTCTCATCTCAGTTGTTCAACCCCAAATCCAATATTTCTGTTTTTTCACTACCACATCTAATCCCATCAGCAAAATCATTCATCTCTGATTCCAAAATGAATCCCAACCCCACACTTTTGCCCCATTTTCACTGTAAGCACAACAGCCTTCCAAACGGTCTGCTTCCATACTTGTTCCCATCTTTTTTTCCATACAGTAGCAAGCCAAACTTAACAAACCTTCCAACTAAGCACACCCTCACCTAACCTTTATTGCTTCGTGCTACTCATATAAAAACCCACATCCAAGGCTCAAGCCTGCAGGGCTGTCCATGGTCTGTCCATACTACCTAACTTCTCATGGGCTCTCCCTTTCATTTTCCAAACTGCACTCACCCTTTTAGTTCCTTTTGGTCTCCATTCTGCCTTTGGGCCCTTGCACATGCTTTTCCCTCTGCCTATACTGCCATTTGCTCAGCTCTGTATATTCATGATTCTTTTTTGATCTTCCCTAACCATGTATTCCTAAGTAGTTTCTCTGGGTCTCATTAAGTATGTAGATTTTAGACTGCCTGGATTTAAATCCATACTCTTGGGGTTGGGAGTGTAACTCAGTGATTGAACTGTGCTTAGCATGGGTGAGGCTTTGGGTTCAATTCCCAGCACAAAAAGAAATCTCTTTCACTTAACCATGGTATGTCCAAGCTACTTAACCTCTCCGCATCTTTATTTCATAACCAGTGAGTATCTAATAAAAATGTATGTCATTGTAAGTAATACATGAGGGCTGGGGATGTGGCTCAAGCGGTAGCGCGCTCGCCTGGCATGCATGCGACCCGGGTTCGATCTCAGCACCACATACAAACAAAGATGTTGTGCCCACCTAAAAACTAAAAAATAAATGTTAAAAAAAAATTCTCTCTGTCTCTCACTCTCTCTTTAAAAAAAAAAAAAAAAAGTAAGTAATACATGAAGCATTTACCACATAGTAGATACTCAGTAAATATCAGCTATTATTGCCAACATTGTTACTATGCATATTTGTTTATTTTGGTACTAGGGGATTGAACCCAGGGGCATGTTACCATTAAGCTATGTCTCTATAGAGCCCTTTTTGTTTTTTTATTTTTAGACAGTTCTTGTTTAGGGCCTTGCTAAATTGCAGGGACTGGCCTTGAACTTGCAATCCTTCTGCTCTAAATTCCCAGGTCATTGGAATTAACAATCATGCACCACCACCCCCGGACACTATGCATATTTATTTCCCTCCATGTTTTTTAGCTATTTTTCCCAGTGGAATATAAAAATTCCCTACAGAGGCCAGCTTGGAGGCAGAGACTGTAACTGGGTCACCACTATATCCCCTGTGTTTGGCACCTTGGCAATGCTTATTGAACAAGTCTCTATCTCTCACCTTATAGCAGAAGAAGATCTTTATGATCCAAGGCCGCTACCCAGTGATCCGGTATCTCTTACGCCGGAGAGGCTGGGTAGAGAAGAAGATGATCCATCCCCCGGGCACCACCCTAATGCCATCCCAGAAGGATCTGGACAGCTCAATGCTAGGTGATAGTGACACCACTGAGGAAGGTGAACAGTTCCCTCTCTTTCCACAAGACCCCTCCCAGTCTTCTTCCTTATGTTCTCACCATCCCAGGGTTGAGGATTTGTACCTATGGGGCAGGGACATGGCTCTCATCAGGTCTGGGCTCTGCATACATTGAAGATGAAGAAGAGCATTATCAACAAACACAGCTGTTTGACTTAAATGGCCTTCTGGAATTTGATGACCTAGATGGGACACATGCTTTGATGGTGAGTGTCCTGGGGGCCAGCTGAAGCACAGGATTGGCTGGAGGGTGGCTATTCAGAAGGAGAGGTCTGGCGCCCAATGGGGTGACCTCAGACAAATCCTTTTCTTCTCTGGGTCTCAGTTTCCCCATCTGTATAAAGATGATTGTTTCTCTAAAGGCTGGATAGGCCCCCAGAGCAGTGAAGGACTCAGTGGGGCTCTGACAAGGCTGTTACATCCTCTGTGCATGCTAGTTATCCCTTCCAGGTAAAAATCTCTTTGTTCATCTGCTTCCTTTGCCCTTAGCAATTGAAGGCTCGTAGGAAGGGCTTACACAACTCTGAGAGAGGCTGGTGAGATGGTGTGGAGGACATGTGTGTGGAGGTTAAGGACACTTGGATTCATTAGATTGGCACCAACTCTTACTAAGTTGAACTATATGAAATAGCCATTTCTGCACGTCAAGATAAGTTGAAAATCGGTAGTTTCATGTGGTTCAGCTTTGTGAACCCTGGGGCAAGTTGTTTACCCTCCGTGTACCTCAATTCCCTCACCTGTGAAATGGTAGCTCCTACCTCATAGGGTTGGATGAGGAGTCAATGGATTAACATAGAAAGTATTTCAAACAGAGCATAGCATATGGTGTTATTAGTTAATAATAACCTACCTCCCAGATTTTTAGAAAGGATGGAGAGGTGGGGACCACAAAAGAACCTCTGTTACGTGCTGTGTGCACATCAGTTTGGAGGCTGTGTCAGACTTCTGGCAAGTAACTGATGGCCATTGGCCAGAGAAAGGTCCAGCATTCTATTGTGCAGTTTAACACTCAGACGAAGCCTGCTCTCTTTTGGCCAAGCTTGTGCCCTGGAGAAGAAATGCCCTTCATGCCTTACACAGAAACGTTGTGAGGACCACAGGATAGTTTGGAAGTATCCTGTCCTTCGTGCTCAGGAGGGTTGGGGAGAAGCTGCCCACACTGGCCTCCCTGTCTCTATCTCCTCCCCAGTCCCGCATGGTTCGGAATGAGACACCTTACCTTATCTGGACCACCCGGCGAGATGTGATGGACTGTCGCTTCCTCTCTAAGGATCAGATGATAAACCACTATGCTCGAGCTGGCTCCTTTACTACAAAGGTGGGCTCCTCAGGGCAGTAGGAAGGACAGCTTCCAACCCCCACCCTTAGACTAGTAGTCCCAACCCCGTCTCTCCCCTTGTCAGTAAAAGAAAGTTCTCAGGAAAGCATGAGATAAATAATTCAGTGAGACCTGAAGTCAGGAAGACTTGGACTCTAATTCAACCCCTGTGGGATATCTGGTAGTGTAGACTTCTTGACTAAACTGGACTCCAGCTGGATGTGATGGTGCACACCTATAATCCCAATGGCTTGGGAGGCTGAAGCAGGAGGATCAAAAGTTCAAAGCCAACCTCAGCAACTTAGCAAGACTGTCTCAAAACAAAAAAGGCTGGGGATGTGGCTTAGTGGTTAAGTGCCCCTGGGTTCAATCCTTGGTACCAAAAACAAACAAATAACTGGGCTCCAGGATTCAAATAGGATCTGAAGCCCACACAAACACCAAATCCAAACTGTGAGCAAGGGTACATCTGGCTGATGGCTTCATTCTGTCTTATCTCTGATAGCAAGTGGCTTTACATCTCTGAGCCTCAGTGTCCTCATATTTAAATGACAGAAGCAGTAAGGTCTGTTTTCTAGGGTGAAGGATGAAGAAAGAACTTTATAAAATGGTCTGTCATTTTATCATTGGCAGAGACTTGGAGAGGAATTCCTAGACGAGGCAGGTCTTTAAGGATATGAATGAAGGGTGAATGGGATTTGTGACAAAGGGGACCACGAGGCAGACATGGATATAGATGTGAGTAAGTTAAGCCTAGTGAGTGGAATAGAGGCTCTGAGAGCATTTGGGCAAGGTCTTCCTGACTGGATGTGTGCTGCCTGTGGGGGAGTCTCTTAGAGCTCCCTGGGCAAGTCCTACCCTGCCCCCTCAGCAGCTAACTCCATAGGTGGGTCTGTGTCTCAATCTCCGGAACTTGCCCTGGTTTGATGAGGCTGATGCTGACTCCTTCTTCCCACGTTGCTACCGCCTGGGTGCTGAAGATGACAAAAAAGCCTTCATAGGTAAGGAGAACCCCCAGCCCCATGCCTGGACCACCCAGGCTGAAGGACCAAGACTAAATCTCTGGCTCACACCAGGGAATAGCAGGCCTCTCCTTATGCCCTCATCTACCCCAGCAAGTTCCTTCCCTATCCCCAGTCCTACTATACCCTCACTTAATGATACTCCTAGCTTGGCCAGCCCTGACCTCCAGAAAACTTAGGTAGCTTGCTTGTATTCTAGAGCAGGTTCTAAAAGTTAGTGGTTGGTTGAGTTTGGAATCCAGAATGGATTTCAGGCTTATGTCAAGTTCTGTTGGCTGGATTGGGTTCCATAAAAGACTATAGGTTATGGGTTTCTAAGGCAGAATAGCTTCCAGCTCCACAATATGTTCTAAATAGAATTTGGATCCAGGTTAGATGCTAGGCCTTAAGTTATGTTCCAAATCTGAACTAGGTTTTGGGTCAAGGTTTGGGTTCTTAGGCTAGAATAAGTATCAAAAGTATATAAGGGGGACTGGGATTGTGGCTCAGTGGTAGAGCACTTACCTAGCACACGTGAGGCACTGGGTTTGATCCTCAGCACCACATACAAAAATAAATAAAATAAAGTTATTATGTTCATTTACAACTAAAATATTTTTTAAAACTGTATGAGGAGCCAGGCGCAGTGGCACATGCCTGTAATCCCAGTGGTTTGGGAGGCTGAGGCAGGAGGATCACGAGTTTAAAGCCAGCCTCAGCAGCTTAGGGAGACCCTAAGCAACTTAGCAAGACCCTGTCTGAAAATAAAAACATTAATAGGGATGAGGATGTGGCTCAGTGGTTACTCACCCCTGGGTTTAATCCCTGGTACAAAAGGGGGAAAAAAAGTAGATGAGGAACTGAAGAAAGAACTAAGACAACAGACAATCTGGTCCACACCAGATTCTGAAGACAGAGTATAAGCCAAGTCCAGTCACATTGTCACATTCTGGGTCTAACTGAAACAGGATCCAGGTTCTCATTCAGGTTCTAGAGTCAGAAAAGGTAGAGTCAGGTTACACATCCAAAATGGGGCAAGTCACGATCAGGTTCCAGAACCAGAACAGGCCTCAAGCCTAGGGGCTGAGCAGGGTATCCCCTGCCCCGGGAGCAGAGGACTTCTGGCTGACAGCTGCCCGCAACGTTCTCAAGCTGGTGGTGAAGTCGGAATGGAAGTCATACTCTGTCGAAACAGAAAAGGAAGAAGCTGCAAGTAAGTACTGTGGTTACCTTCACTCCCTTACCCTCCGTGCTCCCATTATCCATATCCATATGACCATCTAACATCTTTCCCACCCTTCTTTTCATCCATGTGTTCACCCATCCTTCAGTCTACCCATTAACCCATCCATCCATCCATCCATCCATCGATCCATGTATCCATCCTCCCACCTACCAACCCACTGTTGATCTCCTCATTCACCCACTTGCCATCAGCACACTCCCTATCCATTTATCCACTCCCCACTTTCCTTCCCATCCTTCTACAAAACCATTTATCCATGTATTATTCCATCTTCCTAACTACTGTTTATCTACCCTCTAGTCTGCTCACTCATCCATTCTTCTATTTCCCAACTTCCCACATACCTGTCTTCTGGTTTGTTTGGTGATCAGCCTATGCATGGGCCTGGCATGTGAATGAGCACCCTACAGAGAGCAGGCTAAGAAGACATGGTCCATCCTTGTCTGGGGGAGATAGGTCTAGGAGAAGGAAGAAGTGAACCCAGCAGTTTACAGGAGTCCTGAGCACCCTATGTGACCAAAAATAAGGAACATCTGGGGCTGGGATTGTGGCTCATCGGTGGAGCGCCCACCTAGCACGGGCAGGACCTGGGTTAGATCCTCAGCACCACATATAAAATAAAGGCATTGTGTTGTGTCCATCTACACCTAAAAAATAAATATTAAAAAAAATTTTAAAAAATAAGGAACATCTGGGAGTAAAGGGCACACAGAACACAGCCCATTACTTGCCCCTTCCCTTTATGGACTTAGCTCCTACCTCCAAGCCACTAATCCTTTAAAAGCAAGGGCTCCTTAGCCAGAGATTCAGAGAAGTAAAGGGCAACTATAAGGGAAGGAGAAAAAAATCCCTGGCTTTTCCCCATTCTGTCTCTTACATAAGTGTGCCAGGTACAAGATGACTCTTATTATGTGCTAGGATCAGGAGCACAGGGGTCCCCTACTAGGCAGAGACCCTGCACTTAAGCTTTCTCTGACAATGGGCTCAGGTGTGGGTCAGGCTGCAGGGGGTTAAGGGCTCACTTATATTTCAGGATGTTCAGGAATGAGTCAGGGCTGTGGGTGTGCATTGAGTCTTCTGAGATGTCAGTTTCTAGAGATTCATTTTCAGGTGTGTGTCAGGGCCTCGCATTGCACATGTAAGGTTAGTGTTTCTATGGGTTGATGATGGTTGATTTATGTCAGGATTCTGGGAGTGAGTAGATTTCCGTTGTGTTTCAAGACTTAAGAAGCCATATTGGGGGCTGGGGATGTGGTTCAGTGGTAGAGTGTTTGCCTGGCATGCATTCAATTCCCAGCACTGTGAAAAAATAATAAAATAAATAAAGAAGCCATGTCAGGTTTGGTTTCATGTATATCTAGGTTCAAAGGCCAAGGTTTCCAGGTGCAGGGTCTCAGATATGTCAGAGGTCCCAGGGTTAGAGAGGCTGCAGCTATGTGCTGGGGCTTTAGGTGCTGTAGGACTTTGGGGACATTTAGGGTGGAGTGGGGGCCAGGGATGAAGTGCTAGAGTTGCAGGTAAATTTAGAGCAAAACCTCAGGTAAGTGACAAGTCCCAGGGCAGCTGGGGATCGGGGTTCATGGTAGGCCTCAGGTGTCTTTCAGGTGAGGCCTGAGGTGAGTGACAAGCCTCGGGTTGGTAAGCACTGTAGCATGTGTCATTTTACCTGCCTTGATGTGTTCTAGTGACAGACTCTTCCCTATCTCTGCAGGAGAGAAGAACCTCAAGAAACAGGAACAAAAGCTCATGACAGTGTCCCCAGAGTTTGTGGATGAGGCCCTGTGTGCATGTGAGGAGCACCTTAGCAACCTGGCTCACATGGACATCGACAAGGACCTGGAGGCTCCACTGTACCTCAGCCCTGCGGGCTGGACCCTCTTCCTCCAGCGCTACTATCAAGTGGTCCAGTGAGTACTCCTGCAGCCAGGGCTATGGGCTGAGGCAGGTAATTAGGAACAGACTCTCACAATCTAACACAGCCCTCACCTCCTCCTGAAGCCTCTCATTTTTGTTCATATTGCTACTCTTCAGCTCAGGAACCCTCAGGGATTCCCACTGCCTCCTTGATAGAGTCCAGACCACTCTTCCTGGCTCTTAGCACAATGGTAGGCACTAAGATGATGGCCTGTGCTGTCAGGTAGACCTAAGTTCAAGTCCTGGCTTTGCAACTTCCAAGCTCTATGACTTTGGCAACATCACTAATCTATTTGAACTTTCCTTTTCTGGACTGGTGGTATAGTTAAGAGTGCTTGCCTAGAATGTGCAAGGCCCTGGGATCGATTTCCAGCACCATTAAAAAAAAGAAAGTTCTAGTTTGGGGAGCCAGATGATAACCAAGTAAATGAATGGGTCAGGTGGGGGTGAGTGATGGGAAGAGAAAGGAAGGGGAGCTATGATATAGATGTGCTTGAGTGAATTAATCTAGAAGGGAACCCACCTATCAAGCATTGTTAGGTCTAGATAAAGAGGACAGGAATGCCAAAAAGCACCTGCAGATGAACTAATCAGGCATTTGAATCCTGGTTCAGCCACCAAGTGGGTAGCCTTGGGCAAATACCTTAATTTTCCAAGCTTTAGTTTACTTTCCTCTAAAATGGGACAGGTGATACCTCCCTGAAAGGGCTGCTAGAGGATTAGAGATAATATATGGAAAGCCCTTGGTGTGTTGCCCCATCATTTGGAGCTGGAATGATTCAGTTTTAATAGGAAGGGAGTGGGCAGAAAATGGAATATTGGAGTGGATTGTGAACTGTGAAGTAAATGGGATTTACTCAGTCATTCCCATTGCTATGGTCTGGGCAAGAGGGCTCGTGGGGTGGCTTGAGGGTGAAGATGGAGGTTTGAGAGAGATCCATGTGGATCTCTAGGGGGAAGGCATGACCAAGGTGGTTGAACCTTGGCCTAGGGGGAAGGAGGATATGTCTCCCCTTGTCCTGCCCTCCTGCCTGCCCCCAGGCCTTGCCCTGCCTAAGTCCCACCATCTCCCCACAGTGAGGGGGCAGAACTCAAGCATTTGGATGCACAGGTCCAGCGCTGTGAGGATCTCCTGCAGCAGCTGCGGGCTGTGATGCCCCAGATTGATATGGAAGGGGACCGCAACATCTGGATCGTGAAGCCAGGAGCCAAGTCCCGTGGACGAGGTGGGGGATCAGCCTTTGCTTTTTTGCAACAATACCCTGTGACCTTGTCCCCCATTAGAGGCCAGGGCGGTTAATAGTGCAGTCTGCCAAACTGGACTGAAAGCCCAGCTCTGTCAGTAATATTCTTTGTGACCTAGAGCAAGTCACATCACCTATCTGAACCTCAGTTTCCTCCTTTGTGAAGTGAAGATTGATAAAGCCTTCTACAAGGTGAGATTAAATGCAGAGTACATCTTAAGTTGTAGGTCAGCACAGTCACCCCCATATGAGAGCTTCTGGGAAGATAGTCCCAACTGTTCCTCTCCTGCCCCTGAGTTTGGATCAGTGCTTTAGGTAAGTTTGGTGACACTCACAAGCACTTAGTTGCTTATTATCTAAAGGGTCTCAGATTTCACCAGCACATCCCTATAGTCCTAAGGCCAGGACCCCTAGTTCAAGGTTAGCTTTCCCCTACTTATAAGACTTCAGGCGGGGTTAATTAACCTTTTCTGTGCCTCATCATCATCACTGGTAAAATGGAGCCAATACTTCCTGAGAAGATTAAATTAGTATAATGTTTATAAAGTATTTAGAAGCCATGCATGGTGGCACATGCCTGTAATCCCAGCAACTGGGGAGGCAAAAATAAAATAAAAAATAAAAAAATCTAGGGATGTATCTTGGTGGTTAAATGCCCTTGGGTTTAATCCCCAGGACCAAAAAAATGTACTTAGGTCCTGGATCTGTGCATAGTAACTGCCACATTGATGCTTCTATTATTAGCTGTTATTCTGACTCCTCAGCCAAGTGTGACTGGAATTTGAACAGGAAAGCCAGCAGTGCCTTAGCCCGGCCTTTAAAGACTGTGAAAGGATGCCCAAGAGCTAGAAAACAGATTTCAGTATCAGCTTCTTTCGAATACTGCTCTTGGATGGGTTTATTTATGCCAGGGTGAAGCCACTGCAGCTCCAAACATTGGAATGCTTCTCTTGAGGATGTCACATTAAAATCAGGAGGGCTGGAGATATAGCTTAATGGTAGAGTACTTGCCTAGCATGCTTGAGTCCCTGGCTTCAATCTCCAGTACCACCAAAAGAAACTGTTAAACAACTATCATTCACAGTGGTACACACCTGTAATCCCAGCCACTGGGAGTCTGAAGCAGGAGGATTTCAAGTTCAAGGCCAATATGGGCAACTTGGCGCACGAGACACTGTCTCAAAATAAAAAGGACTGAGGATAAATCTCAGTGGTAGAGCACCCCTGGGATCAATCCCACAAAACAACAACAATGAAAAAAGCATTGGATTCTTTTCTTTTTATACCTTAGAAATACTTGATTTTTTTTCCCAATCATGAAAATATGTGTTTATTGTTTTAAAAAAAGAAAACAAAACAATATAGGAAATTAGAAGCAAATGTCCCTTAATTTCACCAAAAGATAACCTATTAACTTTTTAATGTGATTCTATCTGTACTTGTTTCTATGCATTTGGTGTGTGTATTATAAGTCTTTCTCCTTTTTTAAATTTTTGGTACCAGAGATTGAACCCAGTAGCGCTTAACTCTGAGCCAACTCCCCAGCCCTTTTTATTTTCTATTTCGAAACAGGGTCTCACAAAGTTGCTTAGGGCCTTGCTAAATTGATGAGGCTGGCGTTGGAATTTCGATTCTCCTACCTCATCTTCCTGAGTCATTGGGATTACACTGCACCTGGCAGTTATAATTTAAAAAAAACATATTTTTGTTGTAGATGAACACAATACCTTTGTATATTTTATTTTTATGTGGTGCTCAGGATCAAACCCAATGCCTCACACGTGCCAGGCAAGCGCTCCACCACTGAGCTACAACCCCAGTTCAGCAGATGTAATCTTTTCTTATACAAGGCATTATGGTCTTGGGCCAGGCACAGTGTGCATGCTTATAATTCCAGGGTTGGGAGGCTGAGGCAGGAAGACTGTAAATTCAAAGCCAGCCTCAGCAACAGCGAGGTACTAAGCAACTCAGTGAGACGGTCTCCAAATAAAATTCAAAAAAGGGGGCATGAGGCACTCAGTAGTTGAATGCCTCTGAGTTCAATCCCTGATAACCACCCCACTCAGAAAAAATAAAAAGATATTATGTTCGTGGAAATCCTGATGATTGGTCTACCCACCACCCTTTTTTTAAAAAATATTTTTCTAGTTGTAGATGGTCACAATACATTTATTTTGTTTATATATTTTTATGTGGTGCTGAGGATCAAACCCAGTTCCTCACACGTACGAGGCAAATGCTCTGCCACTGAGCCACAACCTCAGCCCTACCCACCACCTTTTTAAAATATTTTTTTAGTTGTCAATGGACCTTTATTTATTTATTTTTTTAAATTTATATGTGGTGCTAAAATTTGAACCCAGTGCCTCACACATGCTAGGCAAGTGCTCCACCACTGAGCTACAACCCCAGCCCCAATCTGGCCCTTTAGGAAAAGATCCAGACCGGGAACCAGGCACAAGTTTTTCTGTGCCATTGGCAGGCAATAGGCTACTTTGGGCAAAGGAATGAGATTATTTGTGATTTTGTGTCTGGTGATATGATTCTGATATTAACTAGCATTAAAGCTACGCCTTAAGCCAAACAAGCTGGTGCACATTCGAAATCCCAGTTCAGAGGCTGAGGCTGGAAGCTTGCCTGAGCCCAGGGGTTCCAGACCAGTCTAAGCAACATAGTGAGAACCCTGTCTAAAAAGAAAAACCTTGATGGGCAGAATGAAAGTCTCTGGGACACAGGTCCGCTGTGTTAGCAAAGCAATAAAACTTCTTTTACCTTTTCCTCAAAAAAAAAAGAACATTTTCTATCTAGAAGAAATTTTCTGTCTAAAATAGATAATCATAATCAACAGTGTTGGGTAGGATTTGAACAAACACAATTTCATACATTCTTGCTGGGACTGAAAATTAGAAGAACATCTTTGGCAATATAAAATGAAGAATGTGGAGCTGGGATTGTGGTTCAGCGGTAGAGCACCCCCCTAGCACGGGCAGGACCCAGGTTCGATTCTCAGCACCACATAAAAATAAAGGCATTGTGTTATGTCCATCTACAAAATATATATATATTCTCTCTCTCTAAAAAAAAAAAAATTAAGAATGTACACACCCTTTGAGCCAGCAAACCGATGGCTAGAAATTTATTAAACAGGTGATAGTAATATGTGTTAACATTTATTGAATGTTTACCTTTTGCCAAGCCCTATCCCAAACCCTTATCCTGCTTTAATCTGTGTAATACTGTGTAACCAAGGCATGTTTATTCTCCCATAACCTGGAAGAAAATCCTTAAGGATTCCATAAATGTTTAGAAGCAGTAGTTGGCTGCCTCTGAAAAGGGAGATGTATTTTTAATATGCCATTTTTTTTTTACTAATTTTTGGGTTTGTTGGTTTATATTTTGTTAATTATTGGAGAAAAATAATATATGCACATACTTTTAAAGCCCAGTACAAAAAATAAAAGCAGAAGCCCATTACATGGCAGGACACAGTGGCACATTCCTATAATTCCAGTGACTGAGACAGGAGAATCACAGAGTTGAGGACAGCCTCAGCATTTTAGTGGGACCCTGTCTCAAAAAGTTTGGGGAATGTAGCTCAGTGGTAGAGCACCTCTGGATTTAATCCATAGTACCTCAAAAATAACAACAAAAAAATCAATACTATTCAGAAATTTTCAATGCATATATTCCTTTTCAATCAACCCAAAATGACTTGTTACCAAAAAAATTAAAATCATTTTCTGTTTTCCCAAAGGGAACACGATACTAATTGACAAAAGACATCCTTACCCATGTGGCCTGACAGTTTTGTGGGGATGAGGGCTAGCCCAAGTTTGACCTCCTAGACCCTGATTACCCCTTTTCCTGCTAGGCATCATGTGCATGGACCACCTGGAGGAGATGCTGAAGCTAGTGGACTGCAACCCCATGATGATGAAGGACGGCAAATGGGTGGTACAGAAGTATATTGAGCGCCCCCTGCTCATCTTTGGCACCAAGTTCGACCTGAGACAGTGGTTCCTGGTGACCGACTGGAACCCACTTACTGTGTGGTTTTACCGCGATAGCTACATTCGCTTTTCCACACAGCCCTTCTCCCTAAAGAACCTGGACAAGTGAGCCCTACCACTCACCTCCCATGAACTCCCAGACTAGTTGGGGAGCTGGCAAAACAAAACAACACAACAACAAAAAAAGGCAATGAAAATATGCAGTGGAATCTATGCAGCATTGCTGGGTTCCAAACACAAATTGAGCAGGCAGGCAGGACCTCTACCCAGCCATCTTTCCATCCAACAGATATTTACCAAGAGTGTACCCTGTGCCATTCATTATTCTAGGCACTTGGGATACAACAAAAACAAATGAAGAGCCCAGCTCTTAAGTGCTCATATTCTAGCAGGGAGAAACACACAAGCATTGATCTAATAGGATAAAGTGCAATATGTGTTTTAAAAAAAGAAAATATAGAACAGGATTAAGGGACGTCAGTGGAAATTCCAGAGGAGAAAGGCAAGATGTAGTATTAATTTGGGTGGGGTGAGAGGAAACCTTGCTGAGGCCTCAGTTCAAATTCCATCTCTGTAGCTTCCAAGCTGTGGGCCTTTTGTTCAAGTGAAAACATATTTAAGGGCTGGAGATGTAGTAGAATGCTTGCCTAGCATTTGTAAGGCCCTGTGTTTGATCTCCAGCACCACACATACAAAAATACTTGAACCTAGCTGGGCATGGTGGCACATGCCTGTAATCCTAGCAGTTCTGGAGGTTGAGACAGGAAGACTGTGAGTTTAAAGCCAGCCTCAGCAACATAAGTGAGGCCCTAAGCAAGACCCTGTCTCTAAATAAAATACAAAAAAGGGCTGGGGATGTGGCTTAGTGGTTTGAGTGCCCCTGGGTTCAATCCCTGGTACCAAAAAAAAAAAACTTAAACCTCACTTTCCACATCTGAAGAATGGAGGAAGTAATATGAAAGTGAAAACTGTTGATTATCAAGTGCTTCATGTGTGATAGATGCTAAGCACTTTATGTACACAGTTATTTTTCATAAAAGCCCAATGCAGTAGGTACTATCATCCCTATTTTACAGGTTCAATGACTTGCCTAAGATCTTACAGCTAGTCAATGTGAAGATGGGCTTGACTTCATCTTGACAACTACAAGGCTTTATGGTTACCTACCTGCTTGTCTTCCAGGCATTGGGAGGACAAACAAACTAGGCACAAGCATTTAATACTGTGGCTATCATGATTAGCACCCTCAAAGCCTCCTGAGAGATAAAACTAATTCTCACCCTAGAAGAATATAGGGTCCAGGCCTTTGTCATTCTTGTCCTCCCCAGTAGGGCCCTATTTCAAGTCGAACTGACCAGCGTGGCCCAGGGCCGATGTCGAAATTTTCCTGCCCTCCCTCATTTTGGATAGGTGGGGCAGCAGGAGCTAAGCCCCAATTTTCTTTCTTTCCTTTTTTTTTTGGTAACTGGGATTGAACTCAGGCACTTGACCACTAAGCCATATCCCCAGCCCTATTTTGTAATTTATTTAAACACAGGGTCTCACTGAGTTGCTTAGTGCCTCGCCATTGCTGAGGCTGGCTTTGAACTCACAATTCTACTGCCTCAGCCTCCCAAGCCGCAGGGATTATAGGCATGTGTCACCGTGCCCGGCTTGAACCCCAGCTTTCTACTTTGTGTTTCAGCTCTGTGCACCTCTGCAACAACTCTATCCAGAAGCATCTGGAGAACTCCTGCCATCGCCATCCCATGCTACCCCCAGACAACATGTGGTCCAGCCAGAAGTTCCAGGCCCACCTGCAGGAGATAGGGGCACCAAATGCTTGGTCCACTGTCATCGTGCCTGGCATGAAGGCTGCTGTGATCCATGCGCTTCAGACCTCCCAAGACACAGTACAGTGTCGGAAGGCCAGCTTCGAGCTCTATGGTGCTGACTTTGTATTTGGTGAGGATTTCCAGCCCTGGTTAATTGAGATCAATGCCAGCCCCACCATGGCACCCTCCACAGCTGTCACCGCCCGGCTCTGTGCCGGTGTACAAGCAGACACCTTGCGCGTGGTCATTGACCGGCGGCTGGATCGTAACTGTGACACAGGAGCCTTTGAACTCATCTATAAGCAGGTGAGGTGGACGTGGAGGACTCCAGGGAGTGTGCCTTCTTTTCTAGGCTGCTCCACAATGAAGCACAGGGCTCTGCAGTCAGACCAGTTCAAAACCTGGGCTTGAGGCCTGGTTTTGCCAAGTTGTCCTAGTATATAGCCACGTCCCCTCCTCAGTTTCCTCATCTGTAAAATAGAGATATTACTATCTTTCTCATGAGCTGAGTAAATACAATGAGTTAATATGCCTGGATAATAATGCATGGACTCTGCGACATCCTCGGATTCAAATCCTAAGTCAGTAACTAAGCTGCATAACTTCAAACAAATTCCCAACCTCTAGGTGGTCTGTTTATTCATCTATAAAGCAAGAACAAAAATACTACCTAATTCATAAGATTATAAGAATTAAATAGTTAATATAAGTGAGGTACTTCAGAATAGTGCCTGGCATACAATAAATGCTGTACAAGTTTTAGCTATTGTTATAACCTAATAAGGTTGTTAGGAATTTCATGAAAAATAGCATCACTTGTGAAGTGCCTGGAATATATATAGTAAGAGTTGATTACAGGCAGCTGCTATTATTTTTATTATCTTTTGGAGGTATTGAGGACTGAACCCAGGATCCCTTTACTACTGAGCTACTTCCCAGCTCCTTTTTTTTAATATTTATTTTTTAGGTGTAGTTGGACAAAATACCTTTATTTTATTTATTTATTTTTATGTGGTGCTGAGGATTGAACACAGGGCTTTGCATGTGATAGACAAGCGCTCTACCGCTGAGCTACAACCCCAGCCCAGCTATTTATTTTATAGGATAAGATAGGGTTCTTAAAAATCAGGACTGGAATTGGGTGTGGTGGCACACACCTGTAATCTCAGAGGCTTGGGAAGTTGACACAGGAGGATCGCAAATTCAAAGCCAGCCTCAGCAATGGTGAGGTTCTAAGCAACTCAGTGAGACCCTGTCTCTAAATAAAATACAAAACAGGTCTGGGAATGTGGCTTAGTGCCTGAGTGCCCCTGAGTTCAATCCCTGGTACCCCCTCACGCCCCAAAATAAAATCAGGGCTGGACAGCTCATGAGAATGAGACAGAAGGACTGTGAATTTAAAGCCAGCCTCAGCAGCTTAGTGAAACCCTAGGCACTCAGTGAGACCCTGTCTCTAAACAGAATATAGAATAATCAGTTAAGAAAGCTATTTTCAGTTTTTTTGAGCTTAGGAAGTTTTTTTTTTTTTTTTTTGGCAGTTAAGGACCTTCTGACCAGCATTCTGTTTCTGTCAAAGTTTGGTTATATACAGGAAAGGTGCTGATCCTATGCCGATCCATTCTCTCTGGGATTATAGGCATGTGCCACTGCACCTGGCTCCAAATGCCTTTTATTGCTGATTTGTTTTTTAGGCCACTGTGTAATCACACCCTGTACTGTCAGTTTTGTCTCTTTAATCTTTTTTAATCTAGGACAGCTCCACTACTTTTCCCCCCATTTTGATCTTTTGAAGGGACCAAGCTGGTTGTTTTATAGAACTGTCCTACATCCTGGATTTATCAGATTGTTTCCTGGTGGTGTCGTTTACTTGGTCTTCTGTTATCTAGATGTCCTGTAAACTAGAAGTTGGGTCAAACAGCTTGAATGAGGTTCAGGTAAAACATTTTTAGCAAAAATACAGCAGAGGTGATGCTGGGTACCTCTTGTGATATCACAAGGAACCTACTGTTAGAGTGTCTCATGATAGATTAATGATGCTGAATTTGACCATGGGTTAAGGTAGTGGCTACCACGTCTCTCCATTGGAAGCTCTTCCTACCTTATTAATTATATTGTGTATTAGTCCATTTTCTGTTGCTAATAACAATACCATACACTGGAAAAATTATAAAGAAAAAAGGTTCGTTTGTGCTCACAGTTCTAGATGTGCAAGATCAAGAAGCCACATTTGCTTCTTTTGGCTTTCTTGCTGGCAGTGTCCCAAGGTGGTATAAGGCATCATATGTCAAGAGACAGAGAGGCACTGGAATGTAGCTCAGTGATACAGCACTTGCCTAAGCACATGCATAAGGTCCTTGGTTCCATTCCCAGCACCATACAGAGAGAGAGAGAGAGAGAGAGAGAGAGAGAGCGCCTGGCGCAGCAGCGTACACCTATAATCCCAGATAATCAGGAGAATCAAAAGTTTGTGTCCAACCTCAGCAACTTAGTGAGGTCCTAAAAAAAGAGAGACAGACATGCATACATGTCTGTGTGCCACCAGCGTTCAATCATTCAGGCTCTACCCTGATGACTTTATCTAATCCTAATCACCTCCCAAAAGCCCGATCTCTAAACATCATAGATTAAGTTTCCCCCTCTTAATAACTCACTTGGTGATTATATTTCAAGACATAAACCCTTGAGGGACACTCAAAATATCCAAACATAGCACTTGATAAGATGGTACTTTGGCTGTCTTCAACTTACCCATTTCCTGTCATCCTTTCTACTGGTTTTGATATCCAGTTTTGATTCTTACCTATTAGAGTTCCAATTTCTAGTTTTTTTTATTGTTCACTCTACGATTATTAAATGAGGTTTCTGCCAGGAGTGGAGGTGCATGCCAGTAATCCCAGAGGCTCAGGAGGCTGAGGCAGGAAGACTGTGAATTATTCAAAGCCAGCCTTAGCAATTTAGCAAGGCCCAAAGCAAGTTAACAAGACCTTGTCTCAAAATAAAACATTAAAAGGGCCAGGGATGTGGCTCAGTGGTAAAGTGCCCCTGGGTTCAATCCCTACTACCAAAAAAAAAAAAAAAAAAGAGGTTTCTTCTGTAAAGATGACCTTTCTCCAATCACCTAGGGCTATTTGGTAGCTCAGGTTCTGCAATGGTTTTATTCATTTTTTTTTTTAAAGTAGGCAAAGATCCAACACCCACTTACAATTTTTTTTTTTAAAGAGAGGGTGTGAGGAGAGAGAGAGAGAATTTTTTAATATTTATTTTTTTTAGTTTTTGGCGGACACAACATCTTTGTTTGTATGTGGTGCTGAGGATCGAACCCAGGGCCGCACGCATGCCAGGCGAGCGCGCTATTGCTTGAGCCACATCCCCAGCCCAAAATAAAGCTTTTCTCTTTTTTTTTTTTTAAGAGAGAGAGAGAGACAGATATAGAGAGAGAATTTTTTGATATTTATTTTTTAGTTTTCAGCAGACACAACATCTTTGTTTGTATGTGGTGCTGAGGATCGAACCCGGGCCACGCGCATGCCAGGCAAGCGCGCTACCACTTGAGCCACATCCCCAGCCCTCATTTATTCATTTATTTCAAAACCTAGGGTACTCTACCACTGAGCTACATCTCCAGCCTTCTGCTTTTTATTTTGAAACAGGTTGGCCTCAAACTCATGATCCTCCTGCCCCAGCCTCCCGAGTAGCTGGGACTATAGGTGCACATAACCATACCAGGTGTGCTCTGCCTTCTTTATTTATTTATTTATTTTAGTTTTTTTTAGTTGTAGACAGACACAATACCTTTATTTTATTTATTTATTTTTATGTGGTGCTGAGGATCGAACTCAGTGCCTCACCTGTGCAAGGCAAATGCTTTACCAACTGAGCTACAACCCAGCCCCAATGCTTTGCCTTCTTTAAGGCTCTTAGTTTCTGCTCCCCTGTGACTTGAGCTCATATAAGGTTCCAGGCTGTCTATGTGGGTATCATAAGTCAAATTCTCTCTGTAGAGACTCTGATTGTTGGCAGTGACTTGTAGAACACAGCCACACATATTCCATCATGGACGGGGAGCACAAGCAACCTGAGAGGGCAGTAGATGTGGAGGTGTGGTTGTGGGGACTTGACTAGAATTCCCCTCCTCTTCTGGGTTACTAGTCCCTGAGGCTCTGTGACTCCTTAATCACTCTAGGATTAAGGGGTCTCCCAGAGGACAGAGGTGGGCTTCCCATTTCTCAGCTCAGTTTTGATTCTTACCTATTTTATTAGAATTGCAAAAAATGCAAATTTCTAATTTTATTTTTCATTCTACCTGACCAGGTGCTTCAGAGGTAAATTCTATCCATCTCTGCCCTGGGTCCTGCTGCAAGGATTCCAACACCACTGACAGGGCCTTGTCTCTTCTTCTTGCCCACAGCCTGCCGTGGAGGTGCCCCAATATGTGGGTATCCGGCTCCTGGTGGAGGGTTCCACCATCAAGAAGCCCACGGCACTGTGTCATCGGCGGATGGGGGTCCACCCATCACTCCCTCATCTGCTAACCCAGCAAGGCTCTGGGGAAGGCAAGGAGCTGGGGACCCCTACCCACAGGTCAGCTTCCAGGAAAGGTGCTGGGTCCAGGAGCCAGGGGCACATTGAGAAGCCAGACTCCACTGCTACCACCTCAGTCCCCGGGAAGGGGAAGAAAGGCAAGACAAAAAGTGCCACAGCCCTGCTCTGCCCCATCCCCCATAAGTGGGACCCCTCCCCCAACACCAAAATGGGCTACATTGTTACCATGACCTGTGTTAGTGGGAACAGGCAGTCTCATTCCTTGAAAAGACTGCCTGCCATTGAGTAAGAGGATGACCTCAATCCCTGGGTAACAGCATTCCCTCAAACACCCCAGTGTCCCAAAGTGATTTCTTCTGTTCTCTAAGCCCCTCAACCACTTGTATTTGTCCTACCACCAGAACCACCGATAGATGGAAAGAACCACTACTCACAAAGTAATCTTTTAAAATATACAGCCAAGTAAGCATTGTCCTCTCCAGAGTCTCAGTCACCCTGCCTGGACTCAGTCCCAGGGTGCTCTGTCTCCAGAGTCCAGGCTTTTGCCACAGCAGTATTCTTCCTTTGCTTCCATGCAGAATGTCCTTTGGGGAAGAAACTAATCACTTAAATGTTCACTACCACTACCTAACCAGCTCCTTTAGTCTTCACAGCAACCTAGTGAGATAGGTGCTATCGTCCCCATTTTCCAGCCGAGGTAGCAGAAAGTTTAAGGAAGTTGCCTGAGGTTGCACAGCCCAGAAGGGGCAGAGCTGGGATGCAGACCCAGGTCTGTTGGACTCCAAACCCTGGATTCTTCCCACTGCCTCTGGAGGAGGAACCGGGAGGGCTCCACTGCCCTCACCCTGCCCCTGTCTTCCCTACCCTGTGCACATACCCTGTGGGGCAGCAGGGCAGCTGGTCAGCCTCTCTAGGCCCTCACAGCTTCCCTTGCTCCCACAGCCCCTTACCACTTCCCCAGCCTCCACGCCAAGGCACGGCTTCCTTCTTCCTGTGTGCTCCAACCCCAGGGGCGCATCCTCATAGTGCAGCCCTGCAAACTGGTGGGTACTAAGGCCCTGTCGCCCACAGGCAAGGCCCTGATGACTATACCAACCGCCAAGATTATGATTTCCCTTCCACCAGACTCTGACCTCAAGATGGCACCCAGCATCCCAAAGCCAAGAAAGGTGGGCCTGGATCTATGACTCATACCCTGGTGGACAGTGCTGAGCACTGGGGTCAGGGCTGGAGGGCACAGGCAGAGAGCAGCTCCCAGGCTGCCCAGAGGGTGTGGGTTTGTCCCTTTCTCAGCAAGGGACCATTATCAGGTAAAAGGGAAGGACTTGTCCCCCTCAAAACCCCTTCCTATACAGATTCCTGATCATCTCTCCCTTTCTCCCCCCCTTTCACACGAGGCTGTTGCTCCCAAGCGCCTTCGAGGTCCCCAACCTGCCCGTGTCTTGTGGCCTCAGACCTTTGAAGTCGGAACTCTTCCCAGCACCCATAGGAAGGTCAAGGGCAAAGGCAAGTTGAAGGCCAGACTCTGCGACAAACCCAAGGCGGAGGCATACCCTGTGAAGAGGCTGGGCCATCCTATATCCCTGCCCCTTACTGATACATTCCAGAAGCTGAGGGGTACGGAGGTTATGAGGCTAGGGAAATCTTGCTCTGTTCTTGTGGGGCACTGCCTCTGTCCTGGATCTAGCACCAAATAAAGAGGAGCAAACGAACTGTGGAATTGTGGTAGGCTTTGGCTCCACCACTATTGGGTGAAAAACAGATGGGGTGAAGTCTCTATCCAACAGTCCAGATCAAGAGCTAGCAGCAGCCATAATTCCCACTTAGTGACAGACATGGGACTTCCTGTTCAGATACTTCCTTGGTATGTCTGAGCCTTCACTTATATATATGAGGAAACTAAGTCTGAACAAGAAGATGTGGCTTGACCAAGATCACACGGCAGTGAAAAGTCAGGGACACATTGCCAGACTGTGGACCACTGGGAATCCCTAGCCCCAGAGGCTGAGCTGGGCTGGCAGAATGACATCCAGTGGGCATAGAAACATTTATGATACAACACAGGGAAAAGGGTGGACCTTGCTGAAACCCCAGCCTTTCTCCAGAGGGTGTGGGTTTGTCCCTTTCTCAGCAAGGGACCAATATCAGGTAAAATGAAATATCCAACAAACCACACCTGTGTGTAAAAATCTGGTATTACCTAGTCTTAGTGGATTGAATGGTGGCCCCCTAAAAGATATGTCTGTCACCTGCATGTATGTCCTTAAACAGGTAAGGAGTTTTGTAATTGACGATCTTGAGATGAAAGCACCCCAGATTATCTGAGTGGTCTCTAAACCCAACAATAAACATCTTTGTAAGAATCAGAAGAGATGATAAGAGATGTGGGAGCCAAAAAATTCTACTTCCATTTTCTTAGATCCTAACTGGATCTGAAAATTAAATTACATAAGTTATATTAACAAGAGAAAATCTGCCTATAAATTTCATGTAAGTTTGACTTGGCATGGGAGCCCTTATAAATGAAGACCCAAAGAGGCACAATCAGTTACTTATGATTCCGGCTCAGATAAAGAATAGTTGTGAAGAAGCTACTAAATTATATAGGGACGATTAAAAGATGGGAGTTGGCCATGCTTGGGATGGAACCCAGAGCCTCACACATCCTACACAGGCACTCAACCCTTGAGCTACATCCTCAGCCCTGGAGTTATTTTAACAAGGTCTTTAGAGAATTCTCCTGGTTTTGACATCTTAGGTATAAGTAGGGATGCTGTATATTTCTAGCATAGAGAGAGTACCTTTCATATTGGAATGGAGTTTCATCTGCTTTTAAGAAGATGCACAAAGGTCAAAATGATGTTTTTCTCTTTTGCCTACTAGGGATGGAACCCAGGGCCTATTAGGCTATGTGAGCACCCGGCCATTGAGCTACACACCCAGCCCAGAAATGATCTCACACCTACTGCCTTTCAAGTTCCATACAGTCAATCTGCCAGGGTGGACTTTTTTTTCCCCTCCCCGTACTGGGGATCGAACCCAGAGAGAGTTAACCACTAAATGATATCCCCAGCCATTTTTACTTTTTATTTTGACAAGTAGCTGGGATTATAGGCCTGTACCACTGCACCTGGCCCAGGATGGTATATTTTTTAACTCCTTCAATGACCATGTGAAACTGGGTATGGTGGTGCCTGCTCGTAACCCCAGCTACTTGGGAAGTTGAGGCAAGAGGATTACAAGTATAAGGCCTGCCTGGGCAACTGAGTGACACCCTGTCTCAGAATTTTAAAGAAAGGCTGGGGATATAGCTCAGTGGTAGAACATTTGCCTAGCATGTGTAAGGCCCTGGGTTCAATCTCCAGCACACACACACAAAAAAAGACAAATTAGTATGGGATACTGGAAACCACAGAAGAATATAGGAGTGGTTCTCCCCTAGAGCTCTTCATTTTGGATTTGCCGCCTTGGTTTTGGATTTCTGGTCTCCCAAAAGGAGAAAATCCACTTCTATTTTTTTTTTTTAAACTATTCAAGCTTGTGGTAATTTGTTAGGGCAGCTCTGGGCAGCTCTTGACACTAGTCAAGTTGAAGATACAAATGCTATGACCCAGAAATTCTTGCATCCCTGAACCAGGAAATGAGTGCAAGCAGGTTCACAGTAGCTTTGTGGGACAACCAAAAGATGTAACTGTCCAATTAATGGTAGAATGGATAATTGTGGTCTGTTCAAATTCTGGAATTCAAACTTATATGCCATACAACACAACTGCAGGTCACAATGTAGAACAAGAGCAGGTTGCAAAAGAATACACACAGCCTGAGCTCTTTTTTGTTTGATTATTTTTGGTACCTGGGACTGAACCCCAGGGCGCTTAACCACTGAGCCACATCCCCAACCCTTTTTATTTTTCATTTTGAGAAAAGGTCTCACTGAGTTGCTTAGGGCCTCTCTAAGTTGCTGAGGCTGTTCTCAGACTTGTAATCCTCATGCCTCTGCCTCCAAAATCATTGGGATTACATGTATCTGTCACCATACTTGGCAGCATGAGCCCTTTTATGGAAGCATCAAAAATGTAGGGTGTGGTTGGAGCACACCTGTCATCCAAGCAGCTCAGGAGGCCAAAGAGGGAGATCACAAGTTAGAGGCCAGCCTTGGCAACTTAATGAGACCCTCACAAACTTAGTGAGACACTGTTTGAAAATAAAAAAGGATTAGGGCTGGGCACAGTGGTGCACGCCTGTAATCCCAGGGTTCAGGAGGCTGAAGCAGGAGGATTGCGAGTTCAAAGCCAGCCTCAGCAACTTGGCGAAGCACTTAGCAACTCAGCAAAAGACCCTGTCTAAATAAAATATAAAAAAGGGCTGGGATGAAGCTCAGTGGCTGAGCATCCCTGGGTTCAATCCTCAGTACCAAAAAAAAAAAAAAAGGATTAGGGATATAGCTCACTGGTAAAGTACCCTTGGGATCAATCCCCAGTACCAAAGGTGGGGAAAAAAAGGCAAAATGAAGAGTATTGTTTAGAGATACTTAAGCATGCAGTATAACTTAGAAAGAAAAGCAAGGAACGAATCCTCGCAAGTTGGGCAGTGGCTTCTAACCTAGACTGAACAGAACCCCTTAGGGATCTTTTTTTAAAAGACTGATGGCTTGGGGGTGTAGCTCAGTGGTAAGGAGGGGGTATGCTTAGCATGTGTGAGGAAGCCCTGGGTTTAATCCCTAGCACTGCAAAAATCAACAAGCATTGCAGTCAGGATCTCCACCAAGCCAATTAAGTTAGAACCTTTCAGCTGCAGAATCATGGGGAGTCCTAGGGATTTAAACTTCCTAGGAGGGGAGGAGGATTCTAACATGGGCTCAGGGTTGGGAATTGTTGCTTTGCAGAAAGGAGAGGGAATACATCTATGTGCTCCAAGTGGGGTTTATATGGGTATCATTTTATCATTAGTCTTTGATATTTTAGGCATTGTCAGCATGTTTGATATATTTCAAAAAGTTTTGTGTGGGGAGCGGCTAGGGATGGAATCCAGGGCCTCCTACATGCTAAGCATAAGCTCTACCACTGAGCTACACCCCAAGCCCTACTCTATGTCACTTCCTTTTTTTTGGGGGGGGGGTACTCAGAATTGAACCCAGGGACACTTTACCACTGAGCTACATATATTTCCAGCCTGTTTTATTTTTTTTTTTGAAACAGAGTCCTGCTAAGTTTCCCAGGTCCGGAATTATGATCCTCCCACCTCAGTCTCCTGGGTCACTGGGATTACAGGCAAGCACCACTGAGCCCAGCTGTTTCACAATTTTTTATTTATTTATTTATTTATTTATTTGGTTCTGGGGATTGAACCCAGGGGTGCTTAACCAATGACTCATATTCCTAGCAATTTTAATTATATATTTTTTGAGACAGAGTCTCAGTCACTTAAATTGCTAAGACTGTTCTTTTTTTAAAAAAAGAGAATTTTTTTAATATTTTTTTTTTAGTTTTCGGCGGACACAACATCTTTGTTTGTATGTGGTGCTGAGGATCAAACCCAGGCCGCACACATGCCAGGCGAGCGCGCTACCACTTGAGCCACATCCCCAGCCCTCTGAGACTGTTCTTGAACTTTCAATCCTCCTGCCTTAGCCTCCCAAGCCTCTAGGATTACACCACCAAACCTAGCCTCACAATTTTTTTTTAAAGTAAAAGGTCTAATATATCCACTTAGATGGAGATATACCTGGAGTAGTCAGTTTCATAGAACGTAGAATGGTGGCTACCAGGGACTGGGAGTGGGGGAAATTATGAGTTAGTGTCCAGTTGGGTACGAAGTTTCACTTTTAGAAGATGAAGACCTTTCTGGAGGTCGACAGTGGTTTTGGTTATAGAATACATTAAGTACACAATTACCAGGGAGCTTGAGGCAGGAGCATAGTTTGAGCCCAGGAGTTTGAGGACAGCCTAGGCAACATAGCAAGACCTCATCTCAAAAGAGAGAGAAATGGTTAAGATGGTAAGTTATGGTGTATTTATTTTTTTAACCACAATTTTAAAAAATCTAACATCTCTTCCTAGTCAGGTTCACAACAGAAACTGCCAAATAAAAAGACCACATATTCAAATCAGCAGAAAGCATGGTCCATGGTAAATATTTACTTTCTCAGCAAATCTCCAAATCCAGATCATGAGGTGTAGGAGCTTCTATTATTTCAAGTCCAGACAGAAGTCACTTGCCCAACACCACACAGCAAGCAAGAGCCCTAACCAGGTTTGCCTGACTACAGAGCCCAGGACCTTACATCACGGCCTTTACCATGTTGAACACTGACCTCATTCTCTTTGGGCCTGGCTGGCCACAGGCCCCTTCCCCTCAGTGCACTCTGCTCTCCAGCTGTGGGGTCAGGAACAGAGGCCTATTGTTGGCAGAGCCCCAGGTATTGCAGAGTCCTGGAGAAATAAGGGGGCAGGGGTGCCAGAAGCTCCATGGGGGTGTCCCTGGGCCCAGGGCCTGGGAGGAGAAGACGATGCAAGTGAAGGTGCAAGGGCAGCTGGGAAGACTGGGAGGGAGTCAGGTGGAGGCATCTGAGGAGAGCTTCATCCAGGACCTGGAGAGGAGTGAGTGAGCACTCAGCCACCCATGTTCCCACCAGCTAAGGACTAGCTCTAACCTAAATGGTAGTGAAGTGAGCACTTCCTCCCTCCTCCCCCCCTTCCCCTTATGGCCTACAGCTATTAT